CTTAAAAAAAAAAAAAAAAAGGTCAACGCCCAGGAGGCATTGAGGTAACTTAATGCTTCTCGGAGACAGAACTTTTCAGGATAAGACTGCTCTTTTTTCGAGATGTGCGGGCATAAAGTCCTCCAGGTTATAGCATAACAATTCCTAACTGAATCAGTTGAAAATTTAATTTTCTCGGTACTCAAGAAACTAAAATCTCTCTTTCATATCTGAGAATGCTATGTCTTGAGGCACAGAGTAGGAAGCAGTCTACATATGTCTTGTTCCTTAATCTTCTCTTTGGCTATGTTAACTGTTCAACTGAAGTGAGAAATGAGGTCACGAAAAGAGCCTCTAGAACCACTTAAAGAAAATCATTCCTGCCCTCTTTTAAAAGAAAGGAGAAAAGCTCTTACCAAGCAGTTTCCCTTACACTCAACACTCTCCTGCCTCCATGACTTTTCTAATTCTTTACCTATTCATCTCCACATTTCCAAGTCCTCCTCACTAGCCTTCTAGGCTCGGTTCAAATGCTCCTTGCTCCATGAAGCCATCTTGGGTCCTCCTTGCTGGGAGTGAACTCGCTGCCAAATTTCCTTTTCATGATACTTACCACTTTCCACTCTTGAGTTTTGCTTAATTCTGCACATGTCCTATTTCCTTGACTGGAGCTGGCCTTTGCAATGTATGTGATTTTTAATTTTCTTTAGGACACAATCCATTGTTATTTATCTTAGTAAATCTACCGCAGTCTCTCCCCAAGGAAAGTCTATAACTCATAAGGATCATGTGGTAGATTTTCTATCACGTGTGTCCTTTAGTCTTAGTGTATTTCTTTAATCTTACTATGTCTTTCTTACTTTTCTGAGTGTTAAGTTAGCCCTTCTTTTAGGGAAGGATGGTGATAGCAGATGGCAGGTAGAATTCAATACCTTTGTTCACTAAAATAAAATTTGGGAAATCTATTTTAATCCCCTCAAATCCCTCTCTTTTATTAAACACACACACACACACACACACACACACACACACACACACACACATATATACATATTTTAACTTCTGTGAAATCCAAAAGTCTGGGAACCACTGCCCTATAGAAACTAGCACAGTGCCTTGCTCTTTAGCAGGTACTCAACATAAAATTCTTTTGTCTCTACTTTTCATATATCCAGAATACAACCACTTCTGCTAACAACTACTACCATCATTTTGGCTCAAGCCCTGACACGTTCATGCCTGGATTATTACAATAAATCTCTGACTTGAACTCCTTGTATCTGCCCAGCCATTCAAGTCTATTCCCCTGAGTCAGTGGTGGCAAACTTTTCCAGATCAGATAGTAAATCCTTTGAGCATTCTGGGCTCTACTGTTTTTGCTGCAGCTACTCTAAAGCTTCCGGTGAAAGCAGACACAGATAATACAAAAACAAATGGGTGTGACTGTGCTTCAATGGAACATCATTTACCGAAACAGGTAGCTGGCCCTTAGGCTATAGTTTTCTGACCCTTGTTCAGAGTGATCTTTAAAAAATTTTAGAGAAAGAAAAATACCATATGATATCACTTATACGTGGAATCTACAAAAAGGAATAAAGAGGACACTAAAGAACTCATCTACAAAACAGAAACAGACTCGCAGACACAGTAAACAATCTTACGGTTACCGGGGAAAAAGAGGTGGGAAGGGATAAATTTGGGAGTTTGAGATTTGCCAATGTTAGCTGCTATATATAAAAATAGATTTTTAAAAACCCCACAAGTTTCTTCTGTATAGCACAGGGAACTATATTCAATATCTTGTAATAACTTTTAACGAGAAAGAATATGAAAGCAAATATGTGTATGTATATGCATGACTGGGGACATTGTGCTGTACACCAGAAATTGATACATTGTAACTGATTGTACTTCAGTTAAAAAAATTTTTTTTAGTTAAAACTGACTATACTTCAATAACAAAAGAATGCCAATTAAAAAAAAATTTTAGTTAGATCACGTCTCTTTTCTGTTTAAAACTCTCCAGTGGTTTCTCACTTCACTGAGGGCAAAAGCCAAAATCTTTGCAAAGGCCTATGAGGCCCTACATGATCTCCTGTCCCGTGTCCCAACCACTCCACTCTGACCTTGGTTTCCCATGGCTCACTTGCTGGAGCCACAGGGGCCTCCCTGCCTCATGGTCACACACGCCAAATAGCACCCTAGAGAAGTTTTTCCTGAAAAGCAACAACGTGCTCCCCTACTCAATCCACAACCCTCCAAGACTCCCTAGCTCTCCCTCCTGGCTTCTTTTTCTCAATAGCACTTATTTTCATCTGATATAATATATATTTATTTAGTTACCCATTTATTGCCAGTCTTACCCCACTAGAATTAAGGCCCTGAGGGCAGGGTCTTTGTTTTATTCTCTGTTGTACATTCAGAGTCCACCAAAGTGCCTGCACCAAGTCGATACTCAGCAACATTTGTGGAATAATTAAGGAATGAATGAAAGGAATGAATGGATGCTATTCATATAAGACTATGAAATGAGAAAAGTAGTTATAGTGTGACTTCATTTTTATTAAAAATGATGTGTGTGAATAAGGGGACATGACTTTACCATGCATAGAAAAAAGTCTGGAAGGATACACATCAATATGTTAACAATGGTCATCTGTGAGTGGTGCAATTATGGGTGAAGTTTTTTTTTCTTATCTAATTTCTATTTTTTATTTTTGGTGGGGAGAGGTAATTAGGTTTATTTATTTATTTATTTATTTTCTTAGAGGAGGTACTGGGGATTGAACCCAGGTCCTCATGCATGCTCAGCGCATACTCTTACCACTTGAGCTATACCCTATTCCCTCTAGTTGCTATTTTAATCCAAACATGGATTGCTTTTACAATAAAAACAAACTAACAAAAATAATCCAATGCATAAAATTAATATCCCAGGCCTCAAACTTGCTCCAGGATCCCGTACTGATATCACACTGTCATCCTCCAAAGAGGTATCTCCAAACTCTCCTAAGTTTCCCACAACTAGAAGGGCTAATTGTTTCTCCTGAGACATTGGCTAGGAAAAGACAGAATAGCAAGAGCAAGGGAGAAGGAAGGGCAGTGGGAGGGAAGGCATGGGAATGGGATGAGAGCAGGGAAGAAGACTCACCTTTTACCATTAAGGTCTTTGGGGTTTTTTTGTTTGTTTGTTCGTTTTTGGTGGGGGGAGGTAATTAATTAATTAGTTTATTATTTTTAGAGGAGGTACTGGGGATTGAATCCGGGACCTTGTGCATGCTAAGCATGCACTCTACCACTTGAGCTACACCTCCCCCTTTACCATTAAGGTCTTGAGCAAACAGAACCCAAAAATGAGGGACAGACTGGAGCCTGAACTGGGACTGCAACTCCCCAGAGGCAGGGGCAGTTTGAGGGCCGAGCAAGGAAATTCTTAGCATAGGCTGAGAAGCTGGTGATACTTTATGAGTGAAGGGATCCATGGACCTCCCCAGAAGCCACCCCCATTACTGGATTTGTAAGGGAAGGGTCCTGCCCCACACACTCTAAGACATGCTCAAGGCTTACGGGGCTCGTGGGTTCCAGGGTAGTCGCTGAATTCCAGCACGTAGAGGTGTCTCCCCTTCACGCTGCGGCCGATGCTGTAAACCCGCGTGATGTAGGGGCATTCGTTGTGCACCTTGTACAGCATCCGCACCAGCTCATCGTAGCGGTGGTGGCGAAAGGTCACCGGGGCAACCAACTTGAAGAAAAGGAGGTGGAGGAAGATTGAGAACAGGTGTGGCATCTTGCTGGGCCTTTTCAGAGACACACTAAAATGGGCCCCACTTCTCCCAGTAACCAGTCAAAATCCAAGGGCCAAGAACCAGCTCTTCCTAGTTTCCCGCCAGTAAACAAACACCAGTGTGACGGCACCTGGGAAGAAAGTTCAGCAATGCCCTCCGCAGCCGGAGATTATTTACGGAGCTCCGGAATAGACATTTATTTCCCCTCCCCCATTTCTTTGCCTCTCCTAATCCACGAAAACCTTTTGAAAGGTTTTTGCACTTCCCCAGATTGGGTAGTTTCACTGATTCTGGGTTACTGATTAACTGGACAGTAAACAGGCTTCAATAAATAGCTGCTTATAACCCTTTGACTCCCAGAGAATTTTGAGAAACTTTGCCTGTCCTTGTTCCCGCAATCACAATGTAGGTAAGGGTAGTAAAACAGAGTACTTTGTCCTTTCCATCCACCCTACACCCTATCTTTCTGAAGCATAGCTCTGTCTTGTCCCTTTTCTCCTCAAAAATCTTTCATCAGATACCACTGAGAAGATGAAGAGACACAGGTTGGGAGAAAACCATTGCCAATCATATATCTGATAATACATCCAGAATAAATCAAGAACTCTTACAATCCAATAATAAAACAAAACCCCCAATTTATAAGTGGGCAAAATATTTGAATACACATTTTGCTAAAGTAGATACATGAATGACTAATAAGCACATTAAAGATGTTCAAGATGATTGGTCATTAAGGAAATGCACCTTAAAACCACAATGAGATATCACATCACATCCACTGGAATGGTTACAATGAAAAAGACACAACAACTAATGTTGGTGAGAATAAGGAGAAACTAGAACCCTCAAACATTGCCAATGAGAACATAAATGATGCAGCCACTTTGGAAAACAGTTTTGCAGTTTCTTAAAAGTTTAAAAATATACTTACTATACAACCTAGCAGTTTCACGCTTAGGTATCTACCCAAGAGAAATGAAAAACAGATGTCCACACAAAAACTAGTATGTGAATGTTCACAGCAGTATTATTTACAAGAAATGAAAAGTGGAAACAATCTAAATGTCCATTAACTGGTGAATGGATAAACAAATATGGCATGTCCATATAATGGAATATCATTTGATGATGAAAAGGAGTGAAGCACTGATACAGTGTACAACGTGGATGAACCTTAAAAATATGCTCTTTTGAAGAAATCACACACAAAAGACCACATATTATATGATTTAATTCATATGAAATGTTTAGAAAAGACAAACATAAAAATAGAAAGGAAATTAGAGGTTGGCTGGGTCTGGGAGTAGAAATGCAGAGTGACTATAAATGGGCACTAGATTTCTTCTTAGGGTGATGGAAGTGTTCTAAAATTAGATTGTGGCACTTGTACAACTCTGTAAATATACTAAAATTCACTGAATTGTAAATGTGAAGCAGATGAATTTATGGTATACAAATTACATCTCAGTAAAGCTACTTTTGAAAAAAGAAATAAAAATACTTAAGCACAGCCTCCCAAAAGTTAACTATAAATCTACCAGACAGCACAACAATTCCTGGGTACCTACCCAACAGAACAAGACTTCTACACAAGACAGTTCATAGCAGAATTATTCATAAGAGCCCAAAAGTGGAAACTACCCATGTGTCCATCAACTGATGGATAAATAAAATGTGGTATATCTATACAATTGAACACTATTCAGCAATAGAAAGAAATAAAATACTAATAAATGCTTCCACATGGATGGACTTCAAAAATACTGTGCTAAGTGAAAGGATTCAACACAGAAAATCTACTTACTTATTGTATGATTCCACTTATATGAAATGTCATGTAAAAAAGTAAACCTAGAGAGACAGGAAGTAAAATAGTGACTACCTAGGACTGGGGGTGGGGATGGAGTTTCACTGTAAAAGGGCACGTGGAATCTTGTTGGATGAGGAGGATGTCCTAAAACTCAGTGATGGTGATGGTTGCACAACTCTGTAAATTGACTAGCAATCATTAAATTATACACTTAAAATGGGTAAATTTTATGGTATGTAAAATATACTTCAATACATTTTTTTAAAACAAAGTTTCAGGGGATCTTCATGCACTGTAGTGTAAAATCTAAATGCCTCAGCCTGGCTGCCAAGTCATTCCTTTGGGGTTCAATTGTGACCTCACTCCAGTATAGCCCCACCACACTGCCTACTATCTTCTGAGCATGTCCTCATCGTCTGCCTTCCTGCTTTTGCTTATGCTGTTTCCCTAGGTAGCTTAACCCAGCTCCAAACCCTGGGTCTTCCTCATGTCCCCCTGCAACTGCTGTTACCATCAGTCTTTGTATCTTCAATCTTATTACTTTGCCTGTTATGCATTTATCACTGTGCTAGGTGTCAGATGTTCAGATAGAGCACAGCCCTGTGGGTGTTCCTGCCCCCAGGATGGTCATTAGCCTCAGCACAGAGCCTGGCACAGGTGCACATGTGCTGAATGAATGAACAAACAGACCCATTACTGACTTTTCCTCTTGCATCCCGCTGCTCTGCCTTCAGCAAACTTTCCTAAGGAAATCCTATGCTTCCATAACCTGTCAGTAAAGACAGCTATTCCCTCTTGGGAACAAACTATAGTCAGGCCAGCCTGGCCCATAGATGGTCCAGAGGGTTGGCCCAAGATAAGTACCAAACTGGCAGCACCACAGAGTAATAACCCCAGGATTTTATACCTACTGCTAAAACACCATAATTTTCTGATGCACTCCTGCCACCCCAGGTTGCAAGGGCAGGCATCAAGAGAGAAGGCCAGAAGGGCATTACCTATGCTGTTACATATTAAGCCCCTGATCTAGGACTGATGAAATAAAATTTATATTTTAAGGCAGGACAAGAAAAAATGAAACAAAATTCTCTCTGTGTGTTTGTTGGACCTCCTCCCTCTCTCCCTACTGCACAGTGTGCATCTGCATTGCACATTAACCAGAGCTCCTCAAAGATGGGCCTGCTTTACCATAAAGATCAATTTTTTTTCTTTCTTCTGATACTAGCAATGAAACTTCTTAAAAGAATAGAGTTCTTCCCAGCTCTGTAGGGGACCATGGTGGCTCACTGCTCGCTGTGCACGTGCTGACTTGCACTATGTCTCCCTGGTGAGCTTTATGTAAAATATCAGTATGTCACTTGGATATATGATCCTTTGTCTTGAAAATGTATATGACAGTGCCTTTGACTTCTAACAGGCAGAGCAGTTCTCAGAGCTTTCTAAGAATCTGCTTTCTGGGGTATAATCCTCAGTTTGGCTTGAATAAAATTCCATTTTTTTCTTCTTAATTTGATAGTGAACTGAATTTTTGTCGACAGGATAATATCTACTATCACTACTGAAGGCTTGGCTTAGTGATCCCCAGATAAGCCCAAATTGTTCCTCTGCAAAAGAATTCCCATTTCTCTGGCAAATGTGCCTACAGTTCTTATGGTGACCTCACTTATGCCAAACAGATGACATCCACTCTCCAGGAGGGGGCTGTATCCTCCCTGCCTGTGAACTTTGGGTTGTCGTAAACAGGGGATAGCAATCAGGGTTGAGATTGGCACTCCTTCCCTGGAATTGCACATAGGGTGCCAGAGTTGATGCCTTGAAGCCAGAGGGCATACAAGCCTCTCAAAGCAACTAGAAGTACAAGGAACTTGAGTGCCAGGGGGATATGATATTTAAAAATTTTTTCCAGCTTCATTGAGATGTTATTGACATAAACATTGTGTATATTTAAGGTATACAACGTGATGATTTAATACATGTATATAGTGCAGAATGATTACTACCACACTAGGGTTAATTAACACCTCCATCAGTTCACGTACTTATCTGTGTGTGTGTGTGTGTGTGTGTGTGATGAGAAAATATAAAATCTACTCTCTTAGCAATTTTCAAGTATATGATATAGTTTGATAATGCATGTAAGACCTTCTGCCTGGTGCTTGGCAGATAAATATTATTAGCAGTATTAGTAGTAGCAGCAGCAGTGCTAAGCATCTATCTACTCTTGTGCTAAAGACCAGGCTAGGTGATGGGGACACCATTCATTCATTCAACAAATATATACATGCATACATACATGTATGTGAGTGTGTGTGTGCATAAAGCCTCTACTACTAAAGACTAAAGGTTTTACTTTATTATTTTTGATATTGAATAAAACCAACAAAGATCCCTGACTTTGTGGTGCTCACATTCTAGTGAAAAGATAATGAACAATGAAAAAGGCAGTTACTATTCTCAAAGATACAGACAAGAGAACAAGCACAACACTGGGGGAAAAGCGGTGGATGTAGCCACATGGGCCACCAAGCAGGGTCACCTATCCTAATTTTGGAGGGTCAGGGAGGGCTTACTGGAGGATGTGTGGGAGTTGAACCAGATCAGAGAGTCCTGTAGCCTCCTGTGGTAGGTGTAATAGTGGCCCCCCACAGTGTCCACATTCTAATCCCTGGAACCTGTGAATACGTTACGTTACATGGCAAGGGAGAAGGAAGTTTGCGGATGGAATTACAGTTGCTAATCAGCTCATCTTGAGATGGAGGGATTATCCAGGTGGGCCCAGCATAGTCACAAATGTCCTCATAAGTGAGAGAGGAAGGCAGGAGGGTCAGAGTGACGAGATGTGAGAAAAGCTGGGTCATTGCTGGCTTTGAAGATGGAGAAAGAGGCCATGAGCCAAGGAATGCTGGCAGCCTCTAAAACCACAAAAGGCCCCGAGGCACATTCTCCCCGAGAGCCTCTAGGAAAGAATGCAGCCCTGCCAAACCTTGATTTTAGTCCAATGAGACCCATTTTAGACTTGCCATCTCCAGTACTATAACGAATTGGGATTGTGTTAAGCCACTACACTTGTGATATTTTTTACCCACAATAGGAAATGAATAGACTCCGTAATACCTTAAGTCTTGGACAGAGCTGGGGCTCCTGGGGGTCGGGGAAGGCTGGAGCAGAAAGCTCACCTGTCTGATATCCCGCTAGGGTCTTGACTCAAATCTTGGGAAGCCAGCCCTGCAGGACTTTGTTTAGGCAAATGTTTAACCAACCTTCCCAACCCACACCTCCAGCTATCTTAGTTTTAAAAGTTCTTACTATCCTCCAGTAGTAACTCTGAACTTCCGCAGAGCAGTCTCTATGTAATTTAAGCCTGCTTAATAAATTATTAGTTGACTGGACCTATAAATGAACCAAGAGTCCAGCTCAATTCAAATTAGCAATGACTCTCTGACAGATATTTGGGTTTAAATGTTAGGAGAGTGTGTAGGGCAAAGGGAACCTGGCAAAGCGTGGAGTAAGAAAAGTCAGTCCTCAGGACAGATCTTCCAGTTCTTTGCCTGGAATGTTCTTCCCCCAGCTCATCTTATACTTCTGATACTAGCACAATGGTCAACTACATGTGGAGACTTTCCCCCGATACCTCATCTAAAGAGGATTCCCCTGATTACACCTGGTCTTATCCCCTGCTTATTTCAATCAGAATATCTGACTTATCAGTCTGTAATTATCTCATTTACTTATTTAATTGTTTATGGTCCACTGGCTGTCTCTCCTGTTAGAAGATAAACTCATTGAGGGCCAAGACTAACTTATCTTACTTACCATTCACTAAATCCCAGTACAATGTGCTGGATAAATTTTAAAATGAAGGAAGCAATGTACAAACTGAGGTCTGAGATCTGAACAAGAGGTTAACCAGATAAAAACGGTGGAGGAATGTGTGTTTGGGGAGAGTTTTGAGATGAAAGAGTATCGATTTCTCCTTATCACCCTGACCCTGTTGGAGTATGCTAGGCTCTGTTCTTGAATTTCTTCTCTGTACCTGCACTGAACTCCAGATGATCTCATTCACAAATCCACTACAAGCTGATGACTCAGATT